AGCACTTTCAGACCCATAGATGCCAGATGCTAGGAACAATTTAAAATTAGCGTTAATGTTTCCATGGAACACTTGTGTCTCCATGAACCCGCTGGGGAGAGGAGTTGAGTGAGAAAACCAACGGCACGTTACAGGTTCCTTCGGATCTGTGCTGCACTCACTAGACCACTCACTACTCTCACTACATGGATACCAAAGAGCAGAAAGCAAAGCTAATGACAAAGTATGTGGCATTAGTAGTTCAGGTGCTGCTAACGGGGGAGGAAAGCCCACCGCTCCCCGAGCCTGCAGAGCTGCTTTCCTGTTCCACTGGAATATAGGGCTACAAGAAGAAAATATGGAAGCCAGGTGGCAGATAATAGAAACGTGATTATTGCAGGATATAAAACTGGGGCACTACAACACCTTCAAAACAGTCTTCAATCTACACAGTACTCGACCTTCTTTGGACTGGATCTATTTTCATCCTAAAGAAAGGAACGTCTAATATTGCAGATAAGATCCAAGGACACCACAGCAGGCAGCCATACACAATTGATTTTCTTGCTTCCTTACGTTCAGTGCTGCTCCACTGGCAGGTACTGATACAAGTTTAAAAATGTTCTTGGAACTAATCTTCAGACCACTCTTACCTGAATAAATCCAAAATGCACTCTTTCGCTATTTTGTAAAGGCCCCTGGGAAGCAGAGAGCCTGCGCTACCCCTTGAAGAACAGTGACAGTGAACTGCTAACGTAGCACGGGATTGAAAGGCAAAGAATCCATCTCAGCTCTTCCTCCTTTCCTCTTGCATTCCCTGCTTTTCTAGCACGGCTTCACCCTGAAACAGGCTCTTTTTCCATCGCTTCTGCTCAGAGTTTTGAAGGCTATTTTAACACAGATTGTAACATAAAGATGTAGTCCAGAAAGGAAGTTCTGAAAAGCATTTCATTCAGGACTAGTCGTGGAAGGAAAGACAAAGCAAATAAGACATACAGTTAACTAGGACAGAACAAAAATACTTCCATAAATGCAGGGTTAAAGAACATCACTAGAAAAAAAATTGAGATTTTTTTGTTTGTTTGTTTAGTTGTTTGTTGATTTGTTTTTTTTTTCCTACTGGTCATAAAGGTCTGTAGAATTTCAAGATAAACATGCATCAGAGAGTTTGTGTTTGTAGGTATGCATTTTTATCGACTTTGTGTTCCACCTTTCAAAGAGCAGAATTGGGACTTTTTTGTGATCACAGGACCAGCAGGTTATACACACATACCACATGAGTATTCAGATCTTACTTGCAAACATAGTATAGAATATATTAGTAGCTTGTGCCTGTGTGGCTGTCTTGCATCAAGATAAAGAGAGAGAATAATGCTGCTGGGGAATTATGTGCACAAAGCTCTGTGAAGCAAGAATTAAAATGAATGAGATTAAAATAGAAAATAACTACATCAGGAATATGTTAATAATTTAATTAAAGTCTACCAAAGTTGAACTATTCCACAATTAAGATTGAAGCCCATCAACATGCTCTGCTCTACTTGGGGATTTTGCCACAAGTAAAATTACCGGTCTGGAAATGCTTCTTAACGTGTGAGGGAAATGGGGTCAACTAAGAATGTGGTCTGATCATTAACTTTGACAATGTTGGACTTCGCTGTTTTCTCAGACAGGCTTTTACTGATGTTTTAATATATATTTTCTCTACTATAGTCTCATTTCTAGTACATAAGGCAAATGTGAATATTGATACTTCTGAAAAACAGGAGGGCAAGATTTAGTGCTCTTTTTTTTCCCCAAGCTTGTTTACTATGTTTTCATCTTTGTATAACCTTTGAGTCAAACAGAAACACAGAACAAAAGGGTTACTTAATAGCTGAGCAAGAAGCAACACAAAGGCCATTACTATGGAAGACTTAGCAGCAAAGATTAATCTGACACATTAAGGAAATAGTTATATAGATCTTAACAAATATTTTACATTATCCTTTTGAAGTACCCTATAATTTTTTATCCATTCCACAGAATAGTACAAAAAATAAATACTATGCTTTCTGGAGTAGCAGATATTGTTGACTGTACCAGGCAGAGTCAACATCTTTCCCATAAGGCGCCCCGTCTTCATACTGTTTATCTTGTAGGAGAATGTACAAAATACAGAAAATACCTCCTCCTTAACTTCTGTGCCTGCAGCCTTTTATAAGGCCACATGCAACTTCGGTTTCCACAAAACCAACTCAGTTTGATGTTCTAAAATGAGAGTGCACCATCATTTCAAAGGCTTAGTACCATAAAATATGGAAAATCCTTCTTTTTATCAGTAGATTCACACAGCGAAAAAGATCAGAACCTTCTTTTTCTCCAGTAGGAGCTAAAACTGCGCATAGTGAAAAGACAACGCGTTGTTTTCTGATGAAAACAATGGAAGACAACTTTTTTCTTGCATTGGTTTTGGCATGACAGTTTCCTACTGAGTATAACACATTTGTGGACTTCGAGCTTGCAGACAGAAGGTGACCACATTTATGTGATGCTATGTCCTACAACTGCAAATGGCTATACTTGAAATGTACACTTTTAAAGGTAATAAGGTAGTGGTTTTGTATGTAAAAGAGACAATACCCTGAACCATAATAAGGAATTTCACATCACGTTACAGTGATACTTCCCATAATCAAGCACAGCCTAATATACAATCTTGGCAAGTCAGAAAGTCTCCAGAAATTAAGAGAAATGTTCCTAAATATTTCAATCTTTCATTCAGCTGTAATCTGAGGAGATGACAAATATAAGACACTGCTGTTCTTCTTGTAATAAGCAAATGCCCATGAAAGAAACACCCATTAAAAGTCACTAGTAATGGTGGTATATGTTGACACTCTCAAGAAAAGAAATGGGTGCAGGCATCTCGGGTGCAATTTGGTCCTGAATCTAGATGGATATATGCGCCTACTCCTCCCTTGGGCCGATAAAAGGGCAAGATCTTGCGTTTTTTATATTGAAGATCGTGGATTTTGTCCTTCCTGGTGACAAGCCTGTGTGCCCATGCCATAGATCTTTATAGCCTCATTTCAAGTGTTCCTCCCTTGCTGCAGGTCAGAAATGAGGCATGTCAGATACTTCATTGCATTACTGGTATTCTTTATCTGCAGTTATGCAGGGAAATTCTGTTTTAAAACAGTCAATACAATCTCATTACAGGCACTGCATTTTTATGAGGCTGGAAACGAGAAAGACAAATGTTACTCCTGTTCGTGAATTTGCCTCTTATCATTTCCCCTCTCTGCTCTACAGAGAGCTATTTGATTCATATTAGGGGTTATTTGGGTCACTTTTACCGTGAGAGAGAAAATAATGGTGACCTAATTTGAGATTTGTACCAATTTACGTAAGAAAATGGATTCTGAATATTTTGCATAGTTGCTAAATTTAACTGAGTGTTCAGTGAAGCGTGAGTTTCCAAATGTGAATAAGAGGCTTTAAACCATTTTCCCCTATTTGTTTTTAAACTATATTTGTTACTTACGATTAGCAATTTTATGTCATTCATATGCAGTGTACTGAAACTGAATTCAATAAACTGACCTTCTTCCACCTATTAAACTAAACTTGGTATTTAATTATTATGCATGCAAAGTCAAGCAGAAAAACTAAGGAGCGTTTATAAATAAGATAATTGTGTTTTATTTGCAATGAATAGGAATATTTGTGTTTATTACTTTTCATAAAAAATGTATTACTGCTTATTTTGAATTGGAATAAACACAAAAAATAAAACATCTGTATCAAAGTTTAAAAAACATGACAATCAAAAGCTATTTAATCTCATCCATTTAGTTCTATTGCACAGTCTGTTCCGTGTAACTTTTTACAACATACTGTGCAAAACAGGTCATTTAGACTCAGTAATTAGTATTACAGATAAAGTGACACTGCAGCAATGTTCATTACTATAGTACTGATGCAGTATAGAATATAATACATAATAGTCATGTCTTTAATTTTAAATTGAAGTGCAACAAAGCATATTATTGCTACACATCCTCTTCTTAAAGTAAATGAATGTTATTCAAGTGTACCATTTGTATCCATGCAGAATGTTTTTAAATAAATCACAATTCTACTTCAACTCAAACTGGCATATTTCATTTTCTAATGGCATAAATTAAGGAACCTCTTGCTATAGGAACTTTTCCTATGACAGTGGAAATTATGATAGAATTATATTCCGTATGAAGAATTTCCACAATCATTTTTTTTGTTACAGCAGCTGTAAATCAGTTTGCAAATGAAGCACAACCTTCAGTCTTTTTAAAAATAAAATGAATCTTCAAGAGCATTACAGCTATTTGAGGTGTACTAGGAACTAGAAATATATGATCAAATTGTAATTAATTCTGTACTGCTATGGCTAAAATATCTGGCAATTGTAAACATTAAATATCCATAACAAAACAAAGAGACTTGCAGAGGAGGACAATGGAAGTTTTTATTTGCAGCTCTAGTAGGAGTAGGGCTCCCTATTTATGAATAATTTTTTCTCTGCTTTTTGCAACACCTTTACTTTTGGATAGCTTTGTTATAAATATTAAAAGAAGGAAAAAATGAGTTAAATTTCAGATTTGTTCACATGTACTTAAATAATTTATGACAGCTGAAACGTTCACATTTTCAGTGCAGAAATTTTGTAATGAAGCCATCATTCAGACCTTGCACAAAAAATGTTCTAAAAGCCTTTTTATTTAGAAGTATAATAACCCTATTCACTGTGTTAACCATGTGCCCCTGGCTAAAATATGTACGTATGGATCTAGCAAAATATTTGAATATATGGGATAAGATTCAAAGCGCAAGTTGAAGTACAACCTCAGGTTGTGTATTTCATCTCACAACGATAAGATGTATTGCTAGATTTAAACGAAGGTGTGTAAAGAGCAAAATCTTGAAGTACATATAACTAGTTCCTAGGATTTACAAATTATTTTGAAAAAATGCTTTTTCCCCCCCCCCATCTTGTTTAGGTCAGTGGGACGATGTATAATACAGGGAGACATGTATCTCTACGATTAGACAAAGAGCATTTGGTCAACATCTCTGGAGGACCGATGACATATAGTCACCGCTTAGAGGAAATCCGGTTACACTTTGGAAGCGAAGACAGCCAGGGATCAGAGCACCTACTCAATGGACAGGCTTTCTCTGGGGAGGTACGTCAACATATTTGGAGTTACAAATGAACCAGCATGAATTACACACTTTCCATTTCTGCCTGAAGGTATTTGCAAACTAATTTGTACTCATAAAAA